TAAAATGTCTTAAAGGTTTAATTTTTAAATGTGTGTGTGTGTTTGTGTGTGGTCACAGGTGCTCTTAGAGGCTAGTGGTGTTAGATCCCCTGGAACTGGAGATACACACTCTTCACTATTGAGACATCTCTCCAGCTCCAAATTTATTGTTCTTAGGAATGGTCATTAGTGATTTGTTGTGAGTTACATGTACTATGAAATATCTCCTAAAGTTCCTATGGCCTTTGTTGTCCGTTTTGTTCATTTTACAGATGAGGTAACTTAAACTCCAAGGCTCCATTTTCACTACTGGCCTAATTTTCTCATCTCACCTGTCCCTGATTATGAACATCCATTTTCACAACCTGCTTGGCTGCCTGCAAGTGGGGAGAGGGAAGGCAAGCCATGGCCAAGAGGATAGTCCCCACCGGTATACAGCTAGCTGCTCATCTGCATGCCACTTGCCTTCGCCAGCACACTAAAGGAGGGGAAAGGGAGAAAAGGCATGAAAGGGTCCTTTTTATTCCACACCATAAAGTTTACAACCAGGAGGAAAGGTGGACAGCAGTAGCAGGAGGCCTTGATAGCATTTGACTGGGGAAACTTTTCTCTAGTCTCTGCTCCCCAACATGTGAGGGAACAACCCTAACAGCCCTCCCTGTTCATACATAGCAGGGCCTGCTGTAAGCGTCAGGTTTGGGTTCTGAGGTCACAAAGTAGATTATTTTACCCGGAGAACAGGATGTTTTGTATGTGCCCGGAACAGGCTCAGAGCTTGGGTAGGGTTGTGTTGAGGGGCATTATAGGAACTTAAGAGTTTTCAATTGCCGAGCAGTGGTAGCGCATGCCTGTAATCCCAGTACTTGGGAAGCAGAGGCAGGTGGATCTCTGTGAGTTCGAGGCCAGCCTGATCTACAGAGTGAGTCCAGAACAGCCAGGGCTACACAGAATAATACTGTCTGGGGGTTGGGGTGGGGGTGGGGAAAGAGTTCTTAAGTTCCTTGTCTGACATCAAACTTCACTCTAGGCCAGAAATGTTAAAGGGTGTGGGGAAGGGATAGGGAAGAATGTTAGGTTGAAGAGGTCTGACTCAAACCGTGTGTGGTGGCGCACAACTTTAATCCCAGTACTCTGTGGAGGCAGAGGCAGGTGGATTTCTGAGTTCAAGGCCAGCCTGGTGAGTGAGTCTAGGACATCCTACACAGAGAAACCCTGTCTGCCCTGCCCCAAAAGCCTGAGTAGTTGTCTTCTTTCTCCTTTTCAGAGTAGCCACTGGCTACCTCTAGTCTACAGTCTGGTCCTAGCATTCTAATTCTGTTCTTTATTAGCTTTTTCAGGTTTGGTTTGTTTTGATTTTTTTTTTGAGACAGGGTTTTTCTGGGTAGCCCTTGTAAAGGAAGGCATACCCCACCACTGCCCAGCTCCTTCTTATGCTTTTACATCATTACATGCTCAGTCAGATCTATTTACCATGCCAAATCTCTGCTTCCTATTTGTAAGGTGCTTCAAAGGATGCTGTTTCTGCGCCATCCCTCAGGCTTGTAGGATATAACTATGGTCTATTTACTAGGAGTATTTCCTTTTGGACTGTGGAAGGTGGTAGTGTCTTGAGATCTGGTCTTGCTTTAAAAAAGTAGCTTCTCTCTGCAACTTAGAAAACCATTATCCTAATTATGGGAGAAATTCCCTCCATAACCTCCTCTTATCTTTGTTTTGCTCGGGGATGGAAGATTAAGAGCCTGGAGAATGTAATGTACCCTGATCAAAAAAACAAAAACAAAAAAACCCAGGTGTGTGTGTGTGTGTGTGTGTGTGTGTGTGTGTGTGTGTGTTTGTGTGTGTATGTATGTATGCGTTTTGCTTCACAGTTTCTTAGCCCCATTCCCTGAGGTGCTACCTTGTATAGGCAGGCTCCAGTGCCCTGGGTATCTGGACATCAGGAGAGGCAGTGGCTCCTCCCCCAACTTTGAGAGCTTCTTCCTCAGTTGTCTCCTAGGTGTCTTCACTGAGGAGAGAGTTCTCTGCTTTCTTCTTGGCCATGGTGGGCACCCTGAGGCACCTGACCCTTGAGACTGCCATCCCAGGGGTAGCCCTACCTCTGGAAGCAGGCAGGTAAGGGTTAAAAGGTATGGGCCAGCCCAGTTCCCGTCCAGGTAGGTTGGGCCTTTACCTAGTGGGAGGCAGCCAAGACAGCAGTCACTGTTGTTCACTTCTACTGCCAGGAAAGCCAGGGCCCGGATGAGACAAGTGTTCTTCTTGCTGCCTGGCGTTGGTGAGTAGTGGGAACAGCGGGCCAGGGGTGTGAAACAGTGAAGGCATAGGAGTTGAGGGCTCAGGGAGAATGGACTGAAGTTCTCTTTCAGAGATCTTGGTGTGAGCAAGAGGCACACAGACAATATAGGGTAGCGATGGGAGGGGTGGTGTTCAGTGCAGGAGGACCTGGGGAGCACAGTCCCCACATGGCCATTTTCTTGGTTGGAAATGGAGGAAGAGGGATGGGTCAAAGAGACTTATCTCCTGCTTCCCGGCCCTCTCCCTCACTTCCTCTCCCCTTTTCAGAGTAGCCTCCTTATCGGGACGAGTGGCTGAGAAAACGCTAGCTGAACTATTTAGAAACCAGTGTTGTTCAGGCACCTGTATCCACTCTCCCCTCCACTTATTCACCCTGAGGGATAGAACAGGGTGTGTTGTATTTTGGGGGGAGCACTGGGGAGCCGTCTGTCTGTGTGTGTTTGCTCAAGTGGTAGCAGGATGTGGAAATGGGGCTCTCATTGACAGTGTTGGAGTGCCACCCAGGTGAAGTATCTTGGTTGTAAACAGTCATTAGAGCCAGGAATTTTTGTCGGCTGTGGTGTCAGAAGGGCAGACCTGAAAAACCTGCTGGGCCTGCCTCTGTGAGTGTGTGTGAGTGTGTATGTGTGTGTGAGTGTGTGTCCCCACATGTGGCCTCTGTAGCTCTCTTGCTGCAGCCTATCCCCACAACAGGATGGCAGGATGAGGCCCTAGGGTTGCTGAGGGGGATCTCAGAGGTTTGCTATCGAAGCAGAGGTTGTGGTAGAGCACCTTCTTACTATCTCTACATGGTGTCAGGCAGCCCTGAGTCACAAGGCAAGTGTATAGAACATAGTAGAGTGGAAGCAAAGGTTCCTGAGTCAGGTATGGAGGTGTGGGGCGTTGACCCATGTCTAGCCTGCCCAGTGACCCAATGACTCATTCCTTAACTATGTCCCTGAGGTCAGGCTGACAGGGTGGAGTCGGGGTTCCTGTCTGGACCCTGCATGGACTTCCAGGATGCTCTGAGGTTCTAAAGAAAGACAGATTGAGGCACTCTGATGTGGAACATGAGACTAATGTTGGTGAATGGGGTAAATGGACCCAGGGGGGGAGGAGCTATGTTTCTGTTGGGGTGGAGGGTTCAGGCAAGCCTTGTGAAAGATCACCAAACTAAAATGGGTCCTGGGAAAACAGGAGTTCCAGGGGCGGAGGGACAGAGGAAGATAGGACATCAAAGAGGCCCTACCATGCTAGAAATGCTGGACCTCAGATGGGAGGAATTGTGAGAGCCTCTGCAGCATATATATTGTCTGTGAAAGAGGCTTTTGGGCCTGCCTCGCCATTGATATGGAAGCTAGTACATGAGTTGTTTTTTATTTATTTTATTTTTTTTGAGGGAAGGATACAGACCCTATGGGACAGGCAGGACGACTGCAGAGAAACCGGGGGTACCTTATAGGCAATTTGATCATACCCCATAGAATGAAAATGGGGAAGGGATCTCTAGCTAGGCTTCCTTGGTTGTCTGGGTCTTCTCTACCACATCATGGCAAAGCTGTGACATTCAAGGTAGGTTAAAATGAGAGCTCTGCTGTCTCCATTAGGCCTTCCTAGTCACCTGCCTTGGAGGCTAGGACAGGTGGTAGGAGGGGATGTCACCTGGCTGCCCAGCTGGGGACTGAGCAGGATGTGGAAGGGAGGGAGCAAATTCCAGAGAAGCAGAAGGAAGGCTGGCAGCTAGCCAAAGCAGGCTCCGTGGTCAGCCATGTCTCCTAGGGACAAAAAAAGAGGCAAGTAATGTATATTTTTTTATGGCTGTGGACAATGCTTCTCAGACATCCCAGCAGGATAGCTTCTGTATGCTAGTCTCAGACAAGGGTTGGAGGGAAGAGGGGCTAGAGGACCCCTGAGGTCAAGAGCAGCAGGATGGAATTGGGACAAATGAGAGCCAGATCTGCACTTGATGTCTGGCTCACGTATCTTGCATGCATTCACTCAGTTACTTATTCAACCAGCTGGCATACATTTGTGGACGACTTGCTGTGTGCAGCACTGTTTGGGGTGCTAGAGTTACAGATACACTGGGGTAGACATGCTTCCTGTCCAAATGACAGTACAGGGAAGTACAGTCTCTTGTTCAACAGCAGAAGCCATCACTCAGGGGTCACCTCTGCAAGGGACATTTAAGCCCCAGAATGAACTAGGGCATGGTAGTGCCTGCCTATAGTAATCCTAATATGTAGGAGGCTAAGGCAGGAGACTTGCCATGAGTTCAAGACCAGCTTGGGCTATTACAGTGACTTGCAGGCCAGTGTGGGCTACAGAGTGAGACCCTGGGTCAAAACAAAAGCAGCTCCCAAAATGATAAGTGAGAAATAAGATTCAGGCGCTAAAAGGCTGAAAATAGCACCCTAGACTGTGGCCACAGTCTGGGCAAAGGTCCTAAAGCCTGATGGATGGACCCAGGCACTCAAGAAGAAATTGTTGGGGTTGGAGCTGCTCTGATAAGGGAGTGCATAGGACCAGAGGATGCTCCTAGGCTTTGCTCTTTACTGGGAAATTATTTCACATCTGTGTGCTTTCCACCCCTCATCTCAAAAGGAAAGATAATAACAATGGATCTCCTGCCTGAGGTATTTCAGAGATGCATTGTGACATAGCTGGTAACTGTTCCAGGCACCCAAGGCTGAGTAAGTGCTCACTATCGTTATACCTAGTTGAATCTGTACCATTAATTCTCTCCCTAGGTGAGACTCCTATCTGTGACCTATGGGCCTCTGGGGAGGCATTGTAAGTCTGCCCAGCTTCCCACTTACTGTGTTTGCACTCAATGGGAAGGGATCCAAAGTACCAGGCGGAGTGGGTCCAGACATTGACACGGAATCTGAGCGGGCATAGTAGGTAGGCAGGCGGGGCCCAGGGTGCTTTCTATTCCTAGCTGGAGCATGGGAAGTGGGGGCTGGCCTAGGGGCTGGGGCTATCACAGTTTATCTCTCCTTAATGCCGCCTGTGATGCATCACTGCCAGGCTTTGTCCAGCTATCAGCCACAAAGTCCAATCAGTACAAGGATGGAAGTCAAAGGTCAGCTGATCAGCTCTCCTACCTTCAATGCCCCAGGTCAGTGGCTGCTTCCACTTCCTGCTGCCCCTTCCCTACCCTGAATCTTCACGTGCCTGCTTGGGGAGGGCTGGTCCTCTGGTCCCACAGTGGCTAAAGGATGTCCCAGCTGTCCTGATCTTTGCTCCCTCTGTGTAGCTGCCCTGTTTGGAGAGGCTGCCCCCCAGGTGAAGTCAGAACGTCTCCGAGGGCTGCTTGACCGCCAGAGGGCCCTCCAAGAGGCCCTGAACCTGAAACTTCAAGAGCTCAGGAAAGTGTGCCTGCAGGAGGCGGTGAGGGCCTGACCCCAGGGCTATCAGGCAGGGGGCTGGGGTGAGGGGTCAGAGTGCCTAGACAGGCATGCTGCAGCGATGGATACCTAACCACTTGTCTGGGTGTTAGTAATTTTTTGTCATCCTGTGTATCCTCAAAGTTTGACTTAGAGGTCTCAGAATCAATGAAATGTGGTAATTCAGACCCATATTCACTTGTGAATAATTTAAAACCTCCCGAGCCCCTGAAAAGGGAAAACTTTTTTCAAAATTGGGCAAGAAAGTTCATCCTGAACTGACACAGGGAGATTTATTTTCCTTCCCTCCACTAGTCCATCTATCCATCCATTCATCTGATTTTTGAGACAGGGTCTCATTCTGTAGCCCAGGCTGGCCTAGACCTCACACTCACTATAGCCTAAGATAGCTTTTCACCGGTGCCTCAGCATCCCAAGATCTGGAATTTTAGGCATGACCCCCCACACCTGATTTGAGCTCTGATTTTATCCTTGTTAGTGTGGGTGTCCACATACTTTGCTTGAGGTAATAATGGGGTTCAGGGACTGGGGGAATAGCTCAGCTGGCCATGGAGCAGAAGGACGTGAGTTCAATCTATAGAGCCTATGTAAAAAAAGAAAACTGGGTGTGGTGGTGTGGCAGGCGACTGTCATCCTAGTGCTGAGGAAGTGGAGACCAGGTTGCTTGCTGAGCAGCCAGGCTAGCCTAATCAGTAAGTTCCAAGCCAATGAGAGAGAAACCTTTTCTTGGGGGAGGGGGGGAAGCAGATGGCACCCTGAGGGACAGCATCCAAGATTGGCCTCTGGCCTGTGCACACACGTACACACACACAGACATAGACACACACACACAGGCACATGCCAATTCAGAAGATACAGCCCCAATGTTACATATGCACTATAGAACAAGGAGTGGACTTTTTCGAGACAGGGTTTCTCTGTGTAGCCTTGGCTGTCCTAGACTCACTCTGTAGACCAGGCTCTCCTTAAACTCACAGAGATTTGCTACCTTTGCCTCCCCAGTGCTGGGATTACAGGCCTACATCATCACACCTGGACTAGAGTGGCTTTTGTAATTTTGAAAGCTAGGAATTCTGGCTTTCAGATTTCCAAGATTCCTATGCTCAATGGCCCAGAGATTTAGGCCACTGAGGAACTCAGAGTCTACACTTCCTACCCTGGTGTTAGAGATCTTGAGAGGAGGAAACCTAATACTTGTGGGAGTACTGAGCATGGTATAGTTTCTAAGAGCCTTACTACTTTATGTTGTCCCTCCAACTAACCTTGGTAGTCTCTGCCCTCACTCCTCATTCTCTCCAGGAGCTAACTGGTCAGCTGCCCCCTGAATGCCCGTTGGAGCCTGGTGAACGGCCTCAGTTGGTACGCCGGAGACCCCCTGCAGCACTTGCCTACCCTCCACTGCACGCAAACCCAGCACACCACTCCTTGTGTCCTGCTGAGGTGAGCAGTTGGGTATGGGACACAACATGGTGCTGGTGATAGGCAGGGACAAGCAAGGGCAGAACGAGGGTTATGGGTAGGAGAGGGAGAAGCTAAGGAAGGAAAGGGTTTGAACAGGCAGCTTCCCTCATGCAATATTAGACCTGAACTCTGTCAAGACAATTTTCCCATCTCTAGGAAGAGACACAGGCCCAGCTCCTCATCCTGTCCCCTGAGGATGAATAAGCTCCTCCCATAGGCAAACAGCCCTACCCCTTGGAAAAACAGGCCCCACTTCAGTGTGGATGGACTCTGTCAATTTATTATTATTTAGCTCTGTTCTACCCCTCTTGGCTTGTGCAGGAACTGGCTCTTGAGGCCCTGGAGCGTGAAGTGTCAGTACAGCAACAGATTGCAGCTGCAGCTCGCCGCCTGGCCCTGGCCCCTGACCTCAGCGGAGAACAGAGACGGCGCAGGCGCCAGGTACAGGTTGATGCACTGCGAAGGCTGCATGAGCTGGAGGAGCAGCTCAGGGACTTCCGGGCCCGTCTTGGCCTCCCAGTGCTCCAGCCACTGCCACTGTCTGAAGGAGCACTAGTCAATGCCCAGGGTGTCTGCCTGGGTACACGCCTTGCTCAGCTCAGCCAAGGTAAGCCAGGTCCCAGCATCTCTCTAGTGAGTGAAAAATGGGCTAATGCATTTGGGAGGGTTGGGGTGGCTGAGCAACCACTGAAGGCAGAGAAGTGAGTAGGATTTAAGGGAATCACCCATCCAGGAGAGTTGTAACAGTCTGACATGAGATTAAGAGAGGGTTTCAACAGAAGGCAACAGGAAAATGAATACTCAAGCTCATAATCTTGAATTCAGGTAAAGGTAGATATTTTTTATGTATGGTAGGGTTGAGTCTAGACCCCTCAGCATTCTAGGAAGCATTCTACCGTGAAACTACATCCCTAGCCCTACATTTTAAAATACATTTTTTATTGTGAGCCTGGCCTTTGATGGCTGAGCCATCTTTCCATCCCCTTTTTTGTTTGTTTGTTTCATTTTTGTTGTTGTTGGTTTTTTGTTTGTTTGTTTGTTTGTTTGTTTGTTTGAGACAGGGTTTCTCTGCATAGCTTTGGCTGTCTGGGACTCACTCTGTAGACCAGGCTGACCTCGGATTCATAGAGAGCCACCTGCCTCTGCTTTCCTAGTACTAGGATTAAAGGCGTGCTCCACCACCACCAGGCCCCTCTTTTTTCGTTTTTAAGATTTATTCATGTTCATTTATGTGTATGTATTCCTGTGTAAGTTTATGCTTACCATGTATATACAGGTGCTCATGGAGGCCAGGGTCTTTAGAAGCCTTGCCTCCATGACTGTTGTGGTATGGGGAATGAACCAAGGTCCTCTGCATAGGTATCAAGTGTTCTTAACCACTAATGCAATTCTTCAGTAACTTGTTTTATTTTTACTTTTTATTTTGAAACAGGATTTTGGTAAGTTGCTCAGGCTGGCCTTGAACTAACTGCAAAGTCCAGAATGGCCTTGAACTTGTGGCACACATGCATGCATACACACACACATACACACATACACACACTCACACATGCCCTACTTCATGAAGCCTCTTAGGTGTCTGGCCTGGGTCTGGCAAAGATGAATTCTTGGGGAGGGGTCAGAGGCAGGAGGCAGAAGGCATATGCTCCATAGAGGTGCCTATCCAGTGGTGTAAGGCAGTGGAACCCAGATATGGCAGTGATAGGCTGCTTCTTCCTTTCTCACCTGTAGAGGATGTAGTTCTGCACTCGGAGAGCAGCTCCCTCTCAGAGTCAGGGGCCAGCCATGATAACGGTGAGAAATATCCCGGAAACCTGCACTCAGCCCTGTCTTGTGTCCTCTCGGAATATCCTGTTTTGTTTAGCCTCTCCTACTTTAGCTCTTTAGCAGTGCCTCATGTTCCCATGTATTCTTAGAGTCACCTTGTCACTGCCTCCTCCGCCCCAGACCCTACAGGTCAGCCTCTACACTACCCTTTTGCATGGCTTCATCTGTTAGCTTGCTTAACCCTGTCCCAGCACATGCTCCTCCCCTTTAAACTTTCCCTGTCCCTCTGGACCATCTCTTGTTGAATTCTACCCTATTTTTCCTTCTACCCAGAGGATCCTCATAGCTGCTTCCCTGTACCCGAGCGCCCCTCACCACCAAAGGCCTGGGACCAGTTTCGGGCAGTATCTGGGGGAAGCCCTGAACGGCGAGCCCCATGGAAACCTCCCCCATCTGATATTTATGGGGACCTGAAGAGCCGACGCAACTCTGTGGCCAGCCCTACCAGGTAAAGAGGAACTTGTTCTACCTTTTCCTGGGACCAGAAGTGGGATCCTGAGCCTGGGTTGGCAGGAGGGCCTACTGGTGGGTGCAGTTTCTAACCTGGGTCCTGATGTGGGCCTGCCATCTCTGTCTAGCCCCACACGCTCGCTGCCCAGGAGTGCCTCCAGTTTTGAGGGGCGAAGTGTGCCTGCCACCCCTGTCCTCACCCGGGGCACTGGCCCCCGGCTCTGCAAGTAAGGGGACTCTTGAGGGTGGGTCTGAGTGTCAGAGGAGGAGACCTTTAGTTCTAACTGTAGATGTCGAATACAAATCACTGAAAGATGTGGGACATGGGCAGCTGGCTTTTTTAAAATTTTATTTATTATGTGTACAGTATCTGCATGTATGCCTTCACATCAGAAGAGGGCGCCAGATCTCATTATAGATGGTTGTGAGCCACCATGTGGTTGCTGGGAATTGAACTCACAGCCTCTGGAAGAGCAGACAGTGCTCTCTAGCCCCTGGCAGCTGGCTTTTGAAAGGTGGATACAAGTTGGAGTGGGAATTGGAGGCAGAGGCATGAAAGTGAGCTTTCCTGTGCTTTTTGATAAGTCGTTTTCTTTCTCTGATTCTTTGTCTCCTCATTTGTGGGGTGTAATATCTGCCTTTGAAAGACACAGGTACAGTGCATGTTGGGTAGATAGCATTTGTGGTGGATAGCAATTCCTTCAATCATCCTAAGATCCCTCTGAGGAGATGTTATTATTTGCATTTTATAAATGTAGAAACTGAAGCACAGAAAGGTTAATTAAGTAACTTGTGAGTAAACCAAAGTTCTGATGTTTGAACCCATGCAAAAAAAAAAAAATTGAATCTAGAGTCAGCCAGTAAGCACTATACTGTAATGTTTCTTAAATGCTTAAATGCCTATTTTTTCCCATGCTGTGAACAGAAGCCCTTTCTTTTGGGGGGAGACCTACATTCTGTGTGAGGTGGGATGATTGTTTGGGAATGGGTCATAGACATGGTGGTTTAGAGCTCAAGCAAGGCCTTTAGTTCCAGGCATAAGGCCTGGGACTTCCTTTGGTAGTAATTGGCCACAAGGATAGCCTTAGCAGAAGAATAGGAGCTCTGGGTAACAGACTTTCCTGTGTGTGTGTCCTTCCTTAGCTAGTGCATCCTTCCCCAAAACATTGACAATATCCTATGAGCTTGCAGCCCTCTCCCAGTATACATGTCTATGCCAGCTTTCTTGTGTGGGACTAGACCTCACTGGCCCCATTACACACACTACTTAGCAGCTACATGAACACAACTTCTGATACTGCTCCCATTCTAGAGATAGTGGAGGCTCAGAAAGAGATGGAAGATTGAGGGAACCCATCACCTGTCTTCTTTGTCTGACCCTGCTCTTGTTACCTCACCTCTACTCTCCAGACCAGAAGGCCTCCATTCTCGCCAGTGGTCCGGTAGTCAGGACTCCCAGATGGGCTTTCCTCGGCCTGACTCTGCTTCGGATCGGGCCTCCCTCTTCGCAGCTCGCACCCGCCGCAGTAATAGCTCTGAGGCCCTGCTTGTGGACCGGGCAGCTGCTGGAGGAGCTGGGTCTCCACCTGCTCCCCTGGCTCCCCCTGCTGCTGGTCCCCCAGTTTGCAAGAGCAGTGAGGTGCTATATGAGCGCCCCCAACCAGTCCCTTCCTTCTCTTCCCGCACCGCTGGGCCCCCAGACCCTCCTCGGGCTGCCAGGCCTAGCTCAGCTGCCCCTGCATCCCGTGGGCACCCCCGACTCCCACCTGTGTGTGGAGACTTCCTCTTGGACTATTCATTGGACCGGGGCTTGCCCCGCAGTGCTGGTGGGGCAGGTTGGGGGGAGCTGCTGCCTGCTCCTGAAGTCCCAGGACCCCTTTCCCGCAGAGATGGGCTCCTTGCCATGCTCCCAGGTCCTCCACCCATATATGTAGCTGACAGCAGTAGCCCCCTCCTCCGCAGCAAGGACCCCAACACCCGTGCCATCCGTTCCAAACCCTGTGGCCTGCCCCCAGAAGCTGTGGAGGGTCTGGAAGTGCATCCAAACCCATTACTCTGGATGCCCCCACCCACCCGGATACCTCCAACTGGTGAGCGAGGTGGCCACAAGAACCTTGCCCTGGAGGGGCTGCGGGACTGGTACATCCGAAATTCAGGACTGGCCGTGGGACCCCAGCGCCGGCCAATGCTCCCGCACATGGGCCCAACACATGCACCCTTCCTCCATGCCCGCTGCTATGAGGTGGGCCAGACACTGTACGGCCCTCCCAGCCAGGCACCGCTCCCGCACTCGAGGAGTTTCACAGCACCTCCTGTCTCCGGCAGGTACGGGGGTGCTTTTACTGATGGGTAGAGGTATTGATTCAAATGTTGAAGGTATCCTCACCAGGGAGTACTTTGTCACCATAGCCAATGAGTGGGACCACAAGGAAATTAGCTGTAGTCTTAGCAAGGGGGTCACACAACTTGCATTAGTCCTTAGTGTCCTGTTGAGAAGGATCTTGGATGTTGGTAGCAGGAGTTCTTTCCCAAGCTTTAGAAAGGTTTTTCTATTCTCCCTAGTATGTGGCAGCTAGCAGTAAGTCAGGGTGCTGGGAGGAAGGGACATGTGTGCTCCCTGGTTTTCTCTTCCAAGCTCACCCCATGCTGGAGAGCCTGAAGGTGCTGTCCTGTACCTGTCTCCACTTCTTTAACATGCTTCTTTTCCTCTCTCTGTGTATGTCCTGTCTGTCTTTTCCTCTTTTATCTTGTCTTCGTTACCTGTCTTCCGGATTTCTGCTGTCCTTTCTAAAGATACTACACGGATTTCCTGTATCCCCCGGAGCTGAGCGCTCGGTTAAGTGACCTGACACTAGAGGGGGAGCAGTCTTCCAGTTCCGATCCCCAGACCCCAGGGACACTGGTCTGACCCTAAAGGCCCTTTGTTGGTCTGGACACACTCCCGTCTGGGGAGCACACAGTCGACCTCGCTGAGCCCTGGGATATGGTTGCTCTTGGTCCTGATCTCACAGGGGCCCTGGCTTCTCTTTGGCCCAGGAAGATGTCTGGTATTCCCTGCTCTCTTCTCATCCTGTGCTGGGGAACTGGAGGGCCCCAGCTAGCTTCAAAGAGGGGTACAAAATGGTGTGGGGACTCTGCCCCTTCCTCCATTTCTGTTTACAGTTGTGATTTAGTATTCACTGTTTTTGCCCAACACTAGGTGTTTTATAAAAGGGAAACTGTGAGCTCATTCCTGGTTGGGTTCATTCCTATCCCCATGCCCAACCTGTTCCATTCTGGAGCCACCACCCTGCTTCAGCAAAATGGACCATATAGAGTCTCGGGGCTGGGAGCCTGCTGTGAATAGAACTCCCTGTCTTCTCCCACTAGAGTTCTTGGACAGATGGGCTTCTGTCCACATTTGGAAGGATGAAAGTCTAGGTGGGGTACCTTGAAGGAGCTATTGTCTCTGCCCATGGCCTCTGTGATGACCTTCCCCAACTAGGAGGCCATACAAGAGGTTGTCAAGAAGCAGAGCCATTTGAGTATGTCACATCCTGGGATGCTGCAGTGGTTAAACCCGGCAACTGGTAGATGCCAGTAAAACCCTCAGGTGACATCTGGCCATGGGCTGCAGGCCACATCATGTCCTCCCTGGCATTCCTTCTACTTACCAGTTTTTAAACAAATCCACATAAGCTGTGTTTTCTATATTGTCTGTGACTTTCTGGAGCTGGGGGTTCCCCTACCCCATTTACCTAGTGTTAATTTTTTTTTCTTTTTGTACCAATGGATCTGGGCCCAAGACACTACTCACACTGGAAGGGGATTTCTATAATAAATGTATAAACTCAACTGGATTGCTTCTTTGTCTGCTTCACCTCAGGCACTCACACCTCTGGTTCAGTCCAGATTTTATGTGTATATTTATGGACCAGGGATTCAGTATGTAGCTCTGGCTTGCCTAGAAACTCACTATGTAGACTACACTGGCCTTGTACTCAGAGACTGACCTGTACTGGAACATAGGGCATACACAAACATGTCCACCAGAAACAGTATTTTCACAGAAAGAAAAAACAATGGAAATCACTTATAATAGTGGTGTGTGTGTTTTCCTTCAAACAGATTGTATGTGTCCAGAGCTGGCCACAACTTATAGTCCTCCTGCCTCAGCATCCCCAGAGCTGGGATCACAGGTGTCACCATGTCTAGCTGTCATGTTTTGACATCTCTTGTGAGATGGGGCAGTTCTTTGCTTAGTCCACTTATAACATGAGAATATCCAAAGTGATAGTACACATTTCTGCATCCCTGGGTTTTAGCGCTAATTCAGAGGTAGTAACATTGAGGACCAAAATAGTCACCATTTGAGCACATATGCTTCAATCCAGACAGGTAGGGTCCAGCAGAACTGAAAACAGCCACTGGGTTGTTCACTGAAAGGTACAAAAACATCACACAGGAGGCCAAACTAGCTTCAGATTCAAAAGCTTTATTGTTGCAGCAACACTAATACATGAACCCCATTCCCAGTTGGGGTTATCCCTGGCCAGCCATGGTCCTTGGTACTGGGAACATTGTAGGGAAGGGAAGAAACCCTCTAAACAGAGTTGGAAGGAGGCTATTGGGACTGCTGAGGGTTAGGGTCATCCGGATTCCAGGGTTCAGTGGGGTCAGGGTTGAGCACACTTGGGGCTTAAGCTCAAGATTTGGCCATGTCTTAACCTGGGTTCCAAGCTGGGTGGGGTCTGAAAAATCCCTTAGTCTAGAGCTCAAGATTTGTCCTGCCTCAAGTCCTTGGCTTTGAAGTATGGAAGATCAGTGGGTCCCATGTTTGGGTTAAGGGAGTATCTCTGGGTCCAGTTTTGAGATTAGCTATGGATGCTCTGGCTTAAAAATCCAGTTTCAAGGCTGGATGTAGGTGACTGAGTCTCATATTGAGGAATGAGGAAGACTTTGGTCCCTAGGTAATAGGGGCTGGAGGCTGGTTTGGGACTGGAGTGAGCAGTCATAGGTGTCTTTTTGGACAGGCCAGAAGGCTCTAGGCTCCTACTTTAATGGCTGGGGAAAAGGCTGGGTCTTGGGTATGGGGTGGGGGTCCTCTAGATCCAGGGTGTAGATGCCAGGGTCCTAGGATCCAGCTTCCTGCTCTTGTCCCAGTGCCTCTAGAAGCAGTCCCATTGGCGTCCGCTTTAGACCAATGCTCTCAATCTTGTTCTCAATCTTGTTTTTAAGGTTTCTCAGGCGCAGTGAAGCATGCAGCAGGATCACTGTAGGTGATACCAAGAGTGGGTCTGGGGCCTTGGCTTACAGCCTACAATGGGGAGTTCACCCAGAAGCAGGCTGAGTAGTGAGTTCTCAAAGCCTGCTATGGGGGATGTGGCCAGAAAGGATATCCCAGTAAATTGGGACTTGGACAGTTTAAGGCCCTTAACACTGGAAGACCCCCCAAAAAAAGTAATAAAGAGGGATGCTCCCAAAAGGGAGGGTGCAAAGCCAAGGAAGACACATTTAATGGAGGCATATCCATCCTCCAGGATTTCTAGTCCCCTCTTAGCCCAAGAACCAGTGCAGGGCAGGCCTGATGTTCAAGCCTGAGCTGGCCATTTTCCCAGCTATAGCAGGGAGAGTAGACTCACAAAGCACTGGTGCTGTGATGCAGAGCAGGAAGGTGAAAGCGCCGCCCACGGCCCAGAGAATGAGGAGGCTAAGGGCAAGCACTGCAGCCAGGCAGGCAGCAGGATGGCTGCGACGGCAGCGGCGCACAGCGGCACCAGTTTCAGCAGCCCACACCAGCACCCCGAGGATCACCACCACTACCAGCATGCTCAGGAGGGTGTGCAGTGGACGAGTATACCTGCAGGAACAAGAGCACTCCGCTAGTCTCACCCAATCCTAGACCCTAAGAGTTTTGTTCCCTGTCTCTGGAATCAGCATCCCAGAATAGTCTCACCAGGCCTGTCTCCAACAAGTCCATCCTCCAGGGATTCCTGTCAACTCTCAATTCCTCCCTACTATAGTCCTATCAGATCTTCACATCCTGCTAGATGTCCTGGGTGCCCAACATTTCTCTGGCCTTTGACTTTAGACCTGCAGGATTTCTTTCTACTACTCCTGTATCTGCTCCCACACTCCTCTACTTGACCTTAACCCTTGCAGATCTCTCAAACAGACCTTTAGTCAATATGTATTTCTCTTCACAGAGGCACTTTCCAGGTGTCATCATTTCCTTCAAAAGGCCCCCGTTTTTGTACAGAGCCACCCTCCCACAATTGCTTGAACGTACCTTTTCTTGGTTTCAATCCCACTCTTACAACCCTGCCCAAGTCCCTCTTTTACATTGTCTGTCCTTGGCCAGAAGCATCTTCAACACTGAGCCTTCCTTCTGGGCCCAATATGAGGTCCTCTACAAGCTCCCCCTCTGTCTTAAACCCTCCAAGGCTCCCTTAATCTGCCCCATCACTGAACCTCTTAGATACTGTCCCATCCCCATATTAGGCCTTCCTTAAATCTGGGTCCACTTCCTAGTCCACAGTCCTCTTCAGTGCCCCCATTTTCTACCCAGGTCTTCTTTCCAGACTCCCCCCACCATCCTGCCTTCTCGACTGTCCTTATAACAAGGATCTGCCCCCTTCAAGTTTCCCATCCATTCCCCTCAAACCTTCTTATTCCGCCGAATTCACAGTTCCCAGTCTGGCACTTCCTCTACTCTCCTCATCCTCAAAGACCCCCAAGTCCACCCTGTGTCCCGCTGGTATCTTCAGCCAATCGCTACCTCCCTCCCTCACCCGGCCAGAGCGAGACTGAAGCCGAAGCAGAGAAGGTAATTGGTTTGGTAGTAGAGAAGATTGTTGATGACGCGGTGACACCATCGCTGTGGATCGCTTGGATCAGGAGCCGCCAGACGTGCAGACCCCAAGACAAAGTCGTCTAGGGTGCGCAGCGGTGGCAGCCGCACCTCCGACATCCTGAGGGTTGCTGGACCAGCCCGGAGGGCAGCGAGACTACAACACCCAGTTACCCCTCGCAGCACAGCGAGGCACGCTGGGAAATAGTCTTAAGGAAGCGACGACTAGCAACGTAGCCATACTGCGCAGCCGCAAACACGAACGTGACCAGAAAACACCAATTATATGGTAGCAGAGAGACTGCCGGGAAACCAAGCCTCGCCACGCGGCGAGCAGCTCAAAACTCAAAACACCCCTGGGCGGGGCACCACGCCAGACTGTGGAGGCTGTGTTGACTCAACGCCGAACAGACTAAAAAGAATATGAAGTCAGATCCCAAGCTGGATTCCATTTCCTGTCAGGATCCTAGAAGGTCACGCCGCTCCTGGAAAAATGTGCCCCACCTTTCAGGTCAAGTCATAAATGCCTTTTATTATATACATAAGGCCTTTTTATTATATACTTAAAGGCCTTTTATTCATTTACATTACAGAGACTGTATCTCCTGGTTACCTTTTTTTTTTTTTAAATCTCCAGGCTGGATTAAAACAAACCCTTTGGGTCCCTGTTAATGTTACCAGACTAGGTGGCCCAGGGAATCTGTCCTTGGCCTTCTGGCACAATCACATAAAAAGTGCTTGGGGGAAGTGAGCTGTTTATTTAGACACAGCTGTGCTTGAAGCCTCATTAATGCTTGCTGGCTGGTTCAACACCCTCAAGACTCAGTTCGGCCATCTGCTACTGCAGGTTTCTAGTACGGCTGCCAGCGCTGTTAAAAGTCATCATCATCACAGATGTCAAGGTACACGTCAAAGGCCTCTCTGTTGCAGTTTCCATCTGGAGTGAAGACATATTTGTGGAAGGTCCCATCGACGCAGATGGCTAGGGAGGATTGAGGTGTTGTGAGAGGTTAGGAGATGACCCTGCCAAGTACTCCAGTCCTCTCAGGTGTCTGTCCCACTGTGGCTCATGGTCTAACTCCAGGCCCTTGCCCAAGAGCCGCACCCCCTAGTAATTATGAGGTCGAGCCACACACTTCTGTTTCCTCCAGCCTCTGAAAACCCTTAAATTCCTTTGTATCCAACCTGCAGTCCTTTATCCACTTAGTACCACAAACCAAGGTGCTCCTGTCACTCACCAATCACAGAATTGACATTCTTGGAAGTGTTTCGGCCAAAGGCACAGATGCAGGCTGATTCAGCAGGCACAGTAAAGCTGGCCAGGCTCCACTGAGAGTCCACATACTGCCCAATCATAGGTCCCACTTTGCCCACACGAGCCAGCCTGTAGGCAGCATTTGGTAAGTCCAGGCATGGCACATGGGCAAGGGGATTGGGACAAGACAGGATGAGAATACTCACGCAGAGCGGCGGTTAAGGCGGGTGTCTTTAAGAGCAAAGATATGGACAGTGCCCTTGTCACTGGAAGCACAGAGGAAGGAGGAGTCGTGGCTGAAGTTAATGCTGTAAGACAGACCAGTAATGATGTCCAACATGTGGGCTGTAAGGTCACCAGCCCACCACACATATCCTGTGCTCACCAGTATAGGGTGGCAGGGTCAGTGCCTCTTCGAAGCTCCACCAATTTTTCCTTGGACTGGGTGTCAAAAAGACGAATAAGGGTACCCTTCTGGGAGGCTGAGGCCACTACTGTGCCTGGCTGGTTCAGGGACACACAGGCCACATCACTCTGATGTGCATTGATGGTAAATGGAGCTGATGAAGTGCCAGGCTTTGTGCTTGCCAGATCCTGGATTAGGAGGGAACAGTTGAGGGGGTGATATAGAGGAGAGGGACTTCAAGTTCACTAAGGGTTAGTTCACCCACCACTCCACCCTCACCCATTGGATGGCTCACCACAAGTTGAAGACTTCCGCACTTGTGTCCAGGAAACACAAGCAGTTGC